TTAAAATCCCAATTGCATCAAAACCCTAACCCAAAAGTGAGTTAGTTCATACTAAAATTAAAGCAAATCAAAATAAAAACTGTAAACAAAGAATTCAACATGATGGAATAAAGAAAAGAGAACAAAATCTTCCCTATTTGAGGAACCAAAGAGTTTTAATCTTCAATCTTCTCTTCTTTTTCCCAAAAATGTCCTCCTTTCCTAAAACGACTAAGTCCCACTTATATAGTCGATCCCTCAACCCTAAGACCCTTGCATAAAATTAAAATGCATAGTTTTAATAATTGAAAATTGCAAACTTCGCCGTGGCGAAGAATAAACTTCGCTATGGCATCAAGTTGGCTTCTAATTCACTATCTGACCTAGAGTTTATTGCTGCAGCGAAGAAAGAACTTCGCCACGGCGAACTTTTCTGAATTATTCTAAAATTACGAAACTGCCGTCCGCTTGCTTCCTTACTTGAATCTTCAATTGTTAGTGATCTCCAATAGGAACAAGCTTCATAGTGCTTCAAATCCACTTCAGAACTTCCCCGAATCCTGAGATTCACTTGCTTCTAGGTCCAAAAACTCAATTCCGCTCAATATTTGCTCTAACTGCACGTTTTTTCTTGAAACATAAAATATATGAAATTAAGTTGCAATTCAGGCACAAACAAAAGAAGAAGTATCCAAAATCCGGCCAAAAAGCCTAGATATAATAGTATAATCCTAAGATTATCAATAAATAAACATTTACTACATCGTCAATTTTACAATAATTGATTGGCTCTAGGGCACGTACTCTAACAATGACAACACTTCAAACTTCACCCTTTGGTTGAACTTCGAACTACTACAGCTAGCTTCACTCCACAAGACCACCTGGTCAGCCTTAAGCTCCTCTCAATGTTCAACACTGAAGACGCACTTCAGATTCAAAAGCTTGAAACTCCTCCAAGCATTCAACTAGGAACAACGTTCTAGTCATGAACAAACAAAGTATAAGAAAGGTATTTGTAAGCCTACCTAAGCATATGAAACTAGATTCAAAATAAAAGAAACCTCAAAGAATATGCAAAGAACTTTCAGAGGTATATTTAGGCTTCAAATAAAATGCATTGGAAAGATGAATATAAATAAACCTGCGGACCAATGCAAGGGGATAGCCAGCCAAAAAGCACTTTTTGTGTTTAGCCATTTTAGGAAAGTTTTCACCAAACTTTTTAGGAACCACTATAAAGCTAAATGAATTTTTCGGTACACCTAATGAGCTAATTATAAGTGTAAATGGACTACTTACACATGTCTCAGATAAGGGTAAAATCCTTACATCAAATAGAGATGCAACATGTGTAAAGGAAATCTGGCTGGGCGAGTGTCATCACACGGAAACTTAGTGTCATGACACCAGAAAACCATAAAACGATTGTGCATTAACAAAGTGATGTTACGACATCAAAAATTAGTGTCATCATACTGAATTCATAATTTGACAAAAATACTTACAATTATCATGACATTGGTTTAGCAAATAATACTAGTTACACGCATGTGAAAAGTTGCCCTTAGGCTGAATGGCTACATATATAAACATCGACACCCCAAACACACACGCACCCCCCCCCCCCCCCCCCCCCCCCCCCCCCCCCCCCCCAAAAAAAAAAAACCAAAGTTTGTGTGTGTGCCTAAATTGTTGGCTCTTGATACTAATTTCTTATAAGATCAATACAATGAATACCAATTTTAACCTCAAATTAACGTAGTGGAAAAACTTCCAAGGAACGAATTAAGTGTTTGATAAACAATCAACTACAAAGAAATAGGAAATTTTAAGTGCGGAATTTAATTGAACACAAGATAAATGTGATTCACTGAATTGGGCCACTCCCACATAGGTGGTTTGGAGGATTTTTTACTATAAAACAAAAGGAGTACAAGCTTACAAATCACTCAACTCTTGATTACAAAGCTATATTAATCAAACAATCTATGGAGGCTTCCTATAGTTCTTCCTTGTGTTGGCACTCTCTTGAGAATAAGTTGCTTGAGCCACAATTCTTACTATCTTGCCTCACAGATTAACTCTAATGTAATCCTTACTCTCTAGGGAAAAAAAATACATTTATATAGTGGTTGGGATGTTCCCTAATGATTAGGCTTCAATTTGGCCAAAATTCTATAAAACAAAGGTAATAACGTCACTTAATAGAGTTATATTTATTACGACAAAGCTAGACTCACTACAAAAGAACTAAATCTATAGCAAAATGCTTTCTAGAATTTGATAGCGAAAACTGGATTTGCTACAACAAAAAATATTCAGTATTGTGAATATGCACCTAAAGCATAATTCTACCAACTCTTTCTTGTAGTAGCCACACACCTCAACTTGCTCCGATTTCTCAATTTCCATCAAGTGGCATATAAGCTACATACATTTTGTAAATGGGTCCCAAAATACCTAGAGATGGAGCCATGTGATAGTTTGGGTGGCTATGGTCACCCTTTTCGATTCAATGGGTGATATTAAAGGATAAGAAATTGTTAGAGTCATGAAGGTGACTCTATTAAGGTGATTAAAATATTCGTTTTTGCATATAATGAAATTATATTGAGACAATTTAGGAAATTTGTGAAATTATTCATGGAAATAACATTCTATATTTTTCTTACAATTTTGCATGCTTGGATTGAAATTTGAGATTGAAAAAATGGATATCAGGGTGTGATATATTATCCAGGGTTGATATTGTCTCTTTTGTGTTGTTCAGGGCTCAAATTGATATATAAAATTGGGGTTGACTTTGTCATTTTTTGTTTGTGTAGGGACCCAAAAAAATTTACCATATTGACTATATAAAGAAATGAAGAGTCACGCAAAAATCGGAGATTCGCCGCTCAACCCAACCCTAGCCGACTCCTTTTCCTTTTTTGGTGAACTCTGATGACCTTTCACCTCCCCGGTAATCGATCTCTGTCACCTATCATCACCGGTCGACCATGTTTCATCGTGTTTTGCGTTGAGTCATCACATCTCTTCGTATTCTGACCACACTTCTCCATTTTTCAGCAATGATCCACCCCTCCTAGCTGTTGATTCATCTTCCATGTCATCCATAGCCACCAGTCGACCTTTTTCCTCTTCATTTCATTGTGCATTGCTTTGACTTCCACCACTGACAACCGTTCGCATTCCAACTGTCTTTCTCTCATTTTCTGGGGACGATCCACCTCCCCATCTGTTGATTCATCTTCATCTTACCCAGTGCTCGATCTACCTTTCAGTAGGTTTGGTTCATGGATCTGCCATCAACCTAGCTAGAATCCATTGCCGCCACCGTGATTGTTCATCTTCTCGGCATCCTTTGGTCTTCCCTTGCTGCAAATCACCTTCTCCAGTTCTTGGTGATTCATTTTCACCATGACTAGCTACTTTCTTGCTTCTCCAACCACTGTCAGCACCACCATGAGTGATTGAGCTCCCAATTGGCCGTTACAGTGAAGGCCATATGAAGATTAACAACCAAGATTCCTCTTCACGATACCTCTTGGCTAGTTGGATTGAGCCCGAATAGTGGACAAGTGCAGGGATGTAGCCACATATAGTGTTGTGGGTTCAATTCAACCCACTTAACTTTTTAAAAAGTTCAAAAAAGTCTTAATGTTTTAAGGATTTTATAACTTTGACCCGATTTAACTTCATATTAACCCCACAAAAATGAATTATTAATTAACACTTTTTTAACTTTTCTCTCTTTTTCATTTCCTCTTCTTTCCTCTCATATTATCTTTTTCCTTTGGTTGGATACCCAAGAAAGACTACTCCTTTGGATTACAAAGTAAGATGATACTCATTTTTTTTTTTCACTTAAAATTCTTTTCTTTCAGCTTTCTTAATTTATGAAAGATCATGAGCTATGGGTTTTTGTTGAGTTTCACAAATGGGTTTGAAATTGGAGGATTAAATTCCTAGATTTTGATGTGGGTTTTGATCTAGTTTTGTTTATAATGAGGAATGGGTTAATTAGTTATTGTTTTAAGTTGGGTTTGATAAATTTTGGTTGGTTATTGAGTTAATTTTGAATGGTTTAAAGAATTGATGAAACCTTAAGTTATAGAGATTTGGGGATTTGGTTTAATTTTGATATATTGATTAATTGCTTGATATTTAGAGTTGAACTGATGAGTTTTCATGGGTTTATGAGTTGAATTTTATTAGGTTAGTAGAAATTGTTTGAAAAACCTAAGTTATACAATTTAGGGTTTTGATTTATCAACTTAGATGTTTTGACCCCAATGAATAAAAATCCTGGCTACGTCCCTGGTTAAGTGTTTTGTATTCAGTATATTTGTTTTCATTTCAGTTGGTTGCAATACCTAAATATAATTAAAATGCATGACGTGTTTCAATTGATAATGTCAATTGAGTATGTATGTTGAAATTGAACTGATTGCACCGTTGAATGTTGGTTTGAGAATGCTAAATGTAAATTATTACTTTCATCAATTGTTTCGGTTCAGGTTACAATCAAGTTATAAATGCATTTAGTATTGTTTTTGCTTTGAATGCCCTCGTTGTGTTAATTGGTTGATTAGATTATACAGAGCTGATAGATTGTATTTGTTGGCTTTGTACTAACTAGTGGTACTTAATTGTTAGTGTTTTTGGGTCAATCAATGACAGTTTAGGAAATCTAAAAGTGAGAAGAGGAATTGTGAGTGTTAATCTTGGGTCGAGCCGAATGCCAAGGGCAACGTCTTTAATAATAGTGTTTTATGTTATTTCTTTATTTTCAGCATTAATTTCTTAGGATATTAGTTAATTAATCAAATTGTCAATATCACTTTCATTAACTCGAATATGTATTAGGTCGTTAGTTTGCTCCTTGTGGATTTAACCATTCTTATCGCTAACTACGGTACTTAGATTTAATTTTATAGTCATGATGACAAGCACAACAAAGATTATTAAAAATTGGATCGACGAGATGCCATACATTGTTAGAAAAAAAAAAAAAATTGCATACAATAATACCAAAGTTTTATTTATTTTAATATTCAAACAGCTGGTGGGAACACAAAGTACAGTCAAGAAAATAATAATAAGAACAGAAAAAAAAGAAAAAAAAAAGACTACATGTGGTTAGTTTCCACTTATTATAATGGTCTAGCCATTGGTAGGGAAAACACAGAACATAAGCATACTAGCACACCGACATATATTGTGAAAAAGAACCATGGTGATAAGCAAGAAACATCTAACATCCAATAAGAGATGACCAAGAGGCCAAACTGATGGTGGCTAATAAAAATGCTTCTTGAAATGCTTCTTGCAAAAGGATTTCACCCTCTCTAACCCATTTTCAAGATACTTTGGATCAGTGGCAAAACTTATACGAAGCCAGTTCTTCAGTCCAACAATAACACCTGGTAGGACAATGACTGACTCCTCCTTGGCTAGCTTCACACAAAAGTCCATATCATCATCAATGTCTTCTAGCTGAGAGAAGTCCAACTTCACCTACAACATTAATAATCAAGTTTAACATTAAGGTACCTTCAAATAAATTATTTATCAACAATTTAGATATGAAGAGGACTAAATTTTCTATCATATATCCTCACCATTGCAAACACAGAGCCTTCCGGTTTGGTTGGGCAAGTGATGCCAGGAATCTCTTTTATTTTATCACAAAGAATTTCCGTAGCTTCCTTGAGTAGATTAGTACTTATCGAGAAATAATCGCTATTGGTTTTCTCAAGGTCAAGGATTTGTGGAAGCGCTCCCTGTTAAATTAAAAATATATAAGTATAAAATTGATCGTATTATTTAATATCAAATTAAGGTTTGATGATCAAGTACTCTTTTCAAATTTAGCTCAATTAAGTTTTAGCTACAATAAAAATAAAAGTTATTTATACCTGAATGAATGTTACTGGGTTTGAGATGATTTTGAGGGAAGAATTTATACACTCAACAATCTGGACCAAAAACAAAAGTTAATATATTTATATTATCAGTAGGCATAGATGTATAGATAGTCTTGTATTTAAAAATACAAATAATATAAAAGAGAATTAACCCTTGATTTTTGAAGGGTGCCAGTGGGATCGCAGGTCACTAGCCAACCGAGTCTCCAACCTGTAACAGACCATCTCTTTGATATTGAGCCAAGAGTTATAATTGGAATAGATGATCCAAACACTGCCATCGGCACAAATGGAGTACATCCAAAAGTGAGGTGGCCGTAGACTTCATCCGCAACCACCAAGAGACCAAGCTCTATTGCGGTTTCCGCTATCTGAAATTTTTACATTTCATGCACTATAAGCAAATAAATACATGTCACATAATTTTTTCAGTGAAAAATTTTCGAATATCAGTGAGTGCCATGTCATCCCTACAATCAACCAATGCATTTACACCAACCATAAGTATTGTTTCTATCATCAATCTTTATTGTGTATGTGTGTGGTTGGTAGTTATCAATTTAAAAAATTATGTGTTAATAATATACTGGTTGGTGTTACGGAAGACATGATATCATGTCATATTACAAATTTTTTTTTTTTTTTAGTTGAATAATTATCGTTCACATCAATTGTAAAACTAGATGAACGAGAAAAAATTCATCAATGACATCAAAGTATTGACTTTGTAGTATGAGTTATGTAATAACTATGAGGTATTATTTTTTTTTTTCTTGCATGATATATGGCCAAAAAGGAATAACATGCAATCTTAGTGACTGGCAATAATCATACCTTCTTCAAGTGCTCATATGAAAAAACATTACCACAAGGATTCCCTGGGTTAATAATGACAATAGCAATAGTATTCTCATCTGCAAGAGCCTTAACACCATCAAGGTCTACCTCCCAACCTTTTTCAGGCAGAAGATCATAGTGACGAACTTCAAGATTACTAAATGCGCAACGAGCTTCATAGTTAGCGAAACCTGGCCTCGGTAGCAGAATGTTGGCTCCAGGACCAGCTAAAACGCTCAGTATAATTTCCATTGCCTGCGCACCGCCTGATGTTATATAAACATCATCCGGAGATAGTTTGTATGGCAGGTCATGTGACAAATATTCAGCTACAGCCCTATTCAACAATTAGATGAAAATGAGAAAAATATATATGTAAGAGTTAGAGATGGTTTAATTAAAAGAATTTAATTAATTGATTAATTACAGCTACCTTCTAGCGGGAGGAATACCAACAAATGGGGCATAACAATTATATTTAGCTGAACGAAGAGCGTTAATTACAGCTTCTTCAGCTGCGTGACTGGTGCGAAAACAAGGAAAGGCAGCAGGGTCACCTTGGCTAAGTTTAATGACTGGCCTTTTATCTTCTTCATTGAGATGCTGCATCAGCATACTGAGAGTGCCTCTGGCGGTAACACTTATATCTGAAGCTGAGTTCACTTTGGAATCCCATTTCTTCACCATATTTTCCATTTGCTTCTGGTAGTTAAATTGCTTGCTCAGTGTATAGTAAAGAATATAGAGATTTATAATTTGTTTGAATAAAGGATTGCTGCTTGTGTTCTTATATAGGCATAGAGTGGAGATTACGTGAAGATGTGCCCTTCCTTGCCCTTCAATTCCATCCTTGTGATTAAAGTGCAATCTTTAAATGCAAGTTGGCTACGATATATCCAAGAACCAAAAAGTACTTATTTTCTTGATGCAAAGTATTACTTATAATGTATTTTATATATAAATTCTATATTTTAAAAAGAAAAATATACAGAGACATAATGCTTAAATATATTGGATAAACAATACAAATTTATTTAAGAGGCCAAAGTGTAATATACGTTCAACGAATCAGTTGAAACCAAAATATAAAAATGCATTCAAAGATATTTAATTTAAGGGGGCCACAGTTAAAAAGGAATTTTTGGGATGAAACTTTGATTTTATATCCAGAATTCAAAAAATATTTAGGACACTGGCCATCTCAGGCCTAATTACTATAGTTTGTCTTTGCCGACATGATAAATGAAATTTATTTTAATTTTGTTAAGGACAAAAATAAAGTTGCCCTTGATCTTGAATTTTAATTAAAACAAAAAATTAATAAATATCTTAAGACATTGAAAATAGTATATCACTCCACTCTTTTAACTTATTTTTTTCTTTTTCCCATTTTAGTGCATGTACCTTTCTAAAATGATGAATAAAAACATTAAGCTATCTTTGTAAATAGTTGTATGCTAAGAGCATCTTCAAATAACTCTTTATATAACATAAACTCTTTATTATAAAGAGTTTATCCATAGAAATAAGAGTCCAACAGACTCTTTATTATTTAAATATAAATTAAAGAGTGAGTTTGACTCTCCACTTTTAGAGAGTCAAATTTCACTCCCTATCCTAATTTTAAATAATAAATTACAAGTTCTATGCATTTTATTTATGATTTATCTCTTCTATTAAGTTCCTTTCTTGAAAAAACATATTTTTTCTCCTAAAATTTAAAGAGTCTTTTGGATTTGAATAAAAATTTTATTCTTTATATTTAAAAATCAATGAAAATACTCTTTATTTATGTAAAAAATATTCTTTAAAATAAAGAGCATCATTGAAAATACTTTAAAATAAGGTTTTGGGAAGTGTCAAAATCTGAAGTCCAAATTATACATTAAATGAAAGTGTCTTAATAAAATTTGTGTTCTCCCATTCATTGAAAAGAGGTTTTTGGTTCGTGGATATCATGTAGTCCAATATTTTTTACTGTTATTATTTTACACACCTATTTTCTCATTTCAAATTTATGCTACTAATGAGGTTTATCAACTTCCTAATAATGCGGACTACACATAAAGATAACATATTTAAAGCATATGGACTCTTGTATTGATTGAAGAAATTATCTAAAATAATTTACAATAAATCATTGAAAATTCATGTATGAATGTTGTGTATAGTTAACTAATAGGGAATATTACTAACATTATTTATTTATTTATTTATTTTTTATGCCTAGGGTGTTTAGGCCAATTTACGTACACCTTGACTAATCCTCAGGACCCATTGAGCACCCTATAAATATAATGCTTTAAAGTAAGCCACAAATATAACAAATGTGGTAAGTGACTCAAAAGTTTGAACCCAATAAATTAATAAAAGAAACAAACCTCAATAAGTTAATGAAAAAAACAAACCTCTTTGACCGTTAGGCCAAACCTTTAAGGTTAAATGAAGATTATAACATTGTTACCCATGATTTAACGTTTATGTCTTAATTGTTTTACTCATTTTCGGTAGCAAAAGAAAGAAAAATTATAAATGAAAAATTAATGGAAAAGCATTATTGATATTGAGAAGAGACTTGGCTCATGATATAAATATTCCAAGAAACCTGAAGTCAATATGACAATATTAACCAATTGCCTTTTTAATTTTATTTTTTGTATTTTTATGCCTTGCGGTTACCAAAAAAAAATAAAAAAAATAAAAAAAATAAAAAAAATAAAAAAAAATTCAAAGATAAGTATAAACTCCAAAAAGAACAACTTATAAAAGAAAATCAAATCAAGACCTCTCATCGATGCTACAATTTATACAAATTATTATACACAAATTAATGGTAATAAAAATAAATAGATAGCATATATAAAAATAAAATTAACTATACATGTTGATGCAAAAATACACCAACTAGAGAGATCTGATCGACCTTGATGGGATCGGAACTGATGTATGAGTGATTATAGGTAACCAACAATGAATAAATAATAAATACAGTAAAGAAAATGACAAGAAAGTTTTTAAAGTGGTTCGGTAAGTTCCACTCTTGAACCTACGTCCACTATTCTTTTATTTGTTGTGAGAGCTTACAATAACAATCTTAGAATAATTTGCTAACCACTTTCTCCTCGTTGGAGGGGGTTTATATACAGATTTTGTACAAAGGAAAGAGCCAAAATAAAGGGATTACAATAAGTTTGAAATGTAACTCCGATATTCTTGCGATTGATCGCTGTGATTACGCAAAGATTGTTGTCGATCTGATCCTTTCTGAGATACCCAAGATTTGAAGTTATCTGTGAATTGGTTGAGCAACTGTAAGGATTGATTGTGACTAGCTTGTGCTAGATCGAGCTACAACTCGATGAGCTTATGCGGGTCAGAAGATCGATTGAGTCGAGCTGGCTCTGAATCAAGCATAACCTCGCAATTCTTCGAGCTTGAAGGAAAAATCACACACAACATCTACCCCCTAGTGTTCAGTGCTCGTTTCGAGCTTCGAAGACTATTGCTCGATTTGATATCAAGCATGGTATTCATCGGTAGGGCATGAATGCAGATTCGGTCGAGCTTCATGAGTCGGACTCATCCCCAGTCGACGTACTCAACACTTGACCTTTTCCCTTATGTGATATTCTTGACAAACTCAGAATTTGAAAATAAAGGGTATTTGTGTAAATTCCACGTGGTCATGTCACATTAAATACGGCAGCCTTTGGTAATTACTTTTTGTCGCGCATATGGCGACTACAGCTGTTCATGCGCAAAGTTGAGGCAACATGTGGTCACGTCCAACGACCGAGATTGCTCGATGAATGGAAGGCTGAGATTCACTGTAGATTGACGGCTACGATTGAGACCAACCATTTTGTCTCCCATGCAAACCACTACAAAAGCGGGCGAACTCATCAAAAAGCCTTCACACTTTGCAAAAGTTCTTAGGCTTTCTTGCTTATTCTGTCGCTGCTCCTTCATCTTCACGGTGCTTTTCTGACAAGTTCATCCCATCTTTCAATTTGGTAAGATTTCTTTTCCCTCCTTTGCTTATTTTCATAACTTTCGCGATTGGGGGTAGCCATTGTCGTGGCCACATTGAGCTTTTTAGGGCTTTGCTAGGGTTTTTAAGTGTGTTTTTAGTGGTCTTAGGTTTACGGAGGGTTTATGGTGGTGGCCGCCAGAATCCTAGTAGGTCGTGTACGTCTGTTGTTTGACGTGAACTACCTTGGGTGCCTGAACTAAAAGCAAAGTGTGGATTGGTTATCGAGTTTTTCGAGCTTTGGCACATGTTCGCTTCTACTTTAGGTACCTAAAGGCAAGCTATCGTCATGTCTTCATCAAGCAGTCATTCCATTGATCGCATGTTTGATTCCCCGGCGGGTTCGGCAATTCTTGGGGCATAGTCGCTGAGGCTTCTGAGGAGGTCGTTGCACGGAGCTTGAACCTCGATGCGGTGAGCTCTTTTGACAATGCCTCTACAGAGGCCGCTCAATCGAGCTAGTCTCCGGCTCATAAACCGCGCAAGGAACCACAATCCTAGATTAATGCCGAGAATCTTAGGCACATAAATGAAACTTATGTGCCTCACAATTCTCCAAGCTTGAAGGAAAAAGCACACACAACAATATGCTTATTAAATATGAATAAATAATATAATAATAAAAAAGTTATAATCTAGATAATTAATTTGTATTTATAATATTATTATGAAAGAATTAATGAAATAAGTTAGTAAAATATCTGGTGCCATTGAAAAATGAAAAAAGGGCATTGAGAAAATACATCTTAATACATTTTTGTAAATAATTTTTTTGATCAAATAAGAATTTTATATCCCGTGATTACAAAAATCAAACTTCGTACAAAATCCAAAAAGACAAAACAATATCAATTTAAGGGCTTTCATGATATAATAAATTGAATCAATAGAATAGTTGATAACATTGGAAGGACATATTGAATTGACTATGGAAAAAAGTTGATAGAAAAATGCGTGTGCTTTTTATGGAAATATTCCTTGTCGGTAGAAAAAGTCCATATCTTGCGTGCATATAATAAGTCGAGTAATTATTATATTTAATAATAATGACAAATTACAAATGATTTAAAGATANGTAGCCTTTGGTAATTACTTTTCGTCGTGCATATGGCGACTACAGCTGTCCATGAGCAAAGTTGAGGCAACATGTGGTCACATCCAATGGTCGAGATTGCTCGATGAATGGAAGGCTGAGATTCACTGTAGATTGATGGCTACGATTGAGCCCTACCATTTCGTCTCCCATGCAAACCACTACAAAAGCGGGCGAACTCATCAAAAAGCCTTCACACGTTGCAAAAGTTCTTAGGCTTTCTTGCTTATTCTGTCGCTGCTCCTTCATCTTCACGGTGCTTTTTCGACAAGTTCATCCCATCTTTCAGTTTGGTAAGATTTCTTTTCCCTCCTTTGCTTATTTTCATAACTTTTGCGATTGGGGATAGCCATTGTCGTGGCCACACTGAGCTTTTTAGGGCTTTGCTAGGGTTTTAAGTGTGTTTTCAGTGGTCTTAGGTTTAAGGAGGGTTTATGGTGGTGGCCGCCAGAATCCTAGTAGGTCGTGTATGTCTGTTGTTTGACGTGAACTACCTTGGGTGCCTGAACTAAAAGCAAAGTGTGGATTGGTCACCGAGTTTTTCGAGCTTTGGCACATGTTCGCTTCTACTTCAGGTACCTAAAGGCGAGCTATCGTCATGTCTTCATCTAGCAGTCATTCCATTGATCGCATGTTTGATTCCCTGG